AAAACTATTCAAAATAGAATTTTAATATTTATTGGAAGTTTGAGGCTATATGAGATGAGTNTTCTAAAATAAAACTAAAAAAAAAACTAAATTTACACTATTTAACTAATTTTTAAAAACTACAGAACATGGGATATCTATTTTTAAGAGATATCTATTTTTAAGCATTTTTAAGAGACATTGATTTAATCTCAAATTTGCTCACATTATTTCACATCAAGGATGACAATTTTTTTCTACAGTGGAAAAAACCAACCTGTAAGAAATAGGTTTTCTTCAAGCAAACTTTTTTTAAAAAGAAATAAACTATTTAAACAGTTTATAATTGCGATATGTAATAATTTTTGAGCTATTTTTTGGATCATTTTTACATAAGTAGAAACTAAAAAGCAGAAAAAATTATGGGGGAAAAAATTATAAATTTCATAAAAAAAATTAATTAAAAATAATAACTAGTTTTTCAATATTTTATGTTAAAAAGTATAGTAGAACTAAATTTTATAATTATATAAAGAACTATTAAAATAACAATCAAATTTTAGTAGTACCACTGAATTAATAAATCAAACTTAACTAAGATACTACTAAAAACACAAATTGAATTCTCAATTACAAATAGCATGCTTATTTTTATAATTAAATAACGAACACTTAAACTGATTCTTAAATAATATGATAGATAAATTTTTAATTCACTATAAAACTAATATATAATTAAAGTTTTTTTCTTTTAAAAAATTAAATGTGATAAACTTTAAACTTTCCGTTGCAATATTAAATTTAATTCATAGAAATCTGAGTTATTCTTATAATATGTACTTATTATTAAACAATTGTATTGCTCATTTTAAGTTTCTTCCATTTTGCTCAGTTTTTTCCTTTGTCCTGGAAGAAATAGTAGGTTTCTTCTGATCGAAATGCCAGCACTGCTTAACGTGGATATTTTTTTTTAAATCTACGTAATATATTTCTATTTAAATATTTAAAAATTGCAGATTTATGTTTATTTAAAATACTGATTCCCATTAGCAGTTAAAATCAAAATTGTAAAAAAATGTAGGGAAATTACTTCTTTTTTCACATTGTTACAATTAAACTGGAAGAATTTATATAAATTATAGAAAATTAAATTATATAAAATATTTTTATTAAAAATAAAAAAAACCAAGCTTGGTTTTTTAAAAAGAAAATTTTTGGTTTAAACCATGACCACATTGGTTTGAACTAGCCAATCCTGTAGATGTATATTTATTTTTTATATGTAAGTATACTTATGTATACATGCATGTATAAGTTTCAAAATAAACGATCAGTTTTCGAAAAACAAAAAGTATGCCTCCCTTTATGTTACACCTATGATTACTTTTATTTATTTAAAAAAAATGCTCAAATTAAGTAACTGATACAGATCCACACCCATGGGGTGGTTTCGGCAGCTCTAGGAGAAACAAAACATATTAGCAACACTTTTCAATTTGTTATGAAATGCAATGCAATTATGAAACAAAATGTTTAATTGTATTTAAAATTAAAAAAGTAAAATGTTACTAATTTATAAAGATGTATCATTAAAAAACATAATTTCTACTATGATTACACAGTAAGAGTATAAAAATTCAAAAATTATAAAACATTAAAAATTGTTCCCTTTTTAAAATGTTAACATTTAAAAACCATTTTAGCAGCCATAAATTTTAGCAGATTGCACAATGACCTTACTCACACACACTAAAAATTAGTTAAATAGTCACACTTAAATAGTAAAAAAAGATTATTTTTAAAGCAGAAGAAAGCTAATTAGTCTTATTCAGTAAATAAATAAAACTTATAGAACTCCATTTTATCTTTTAATATTTCAAGGCAATATCAAATTCCTGGCTAAAAAAATTCATTTCCCGAACATCAAGCATTATATATATATTTTTTTTTTAATGGCAGGCACTGAACTTTCGTTCTTGACAAGTTGCCGGAAGTATTACTCATTTAACGTTACCCAGTGGGCACTGGTGAACCTAAGTCACAGAAGCAAGCAACATTACCCACGCCACACTGCCACAGATACCCGTTTTATAGGGTGGGCCGTGGGCTACATTCACACATCACACAATAGAGAACAACACACAGAGAGAAACATCCATGCCCATAGCGGGATTCGAATCCGCAGCCATAGACTTCGCAGTTAGGCACGCTAACCACTCGGCCACCTGGCCGGCACATCAAGTATTATCAACTAATCGTTCTTTTCTTTTAATAATAACAAATATATCAATGTTAAAAACTTTTGCAACACACACCAAGAGCATTTCCTTTCCACAGACTCAGGCCCATAACCAGTATGAGGCATCCACTACACATGAGGCATCCACTAAGAACGGGCTTGACCAGAGTCATTATATACTTTTTAATTGATAAACGTTTGGTCTAGATTTTTTATTCATTACATAACTTCTATATTTGTTTATTAAATATTAGTATAAGTGAACATATTGATCAGTATAAATATTATATTAACTAGCATAAATATTAACTTCATTTGATAAATATAATTGTGAAAATCTTCCAATAAGGGCAAATGGCTCCATAAAACGGAACTCATCACCATTTGCCCCTTCCGTTGGTTTGTTTTTAAAACATAGAATTTTGCATAGGTTCACTTCTCAAGTTTTAACAGATATACAGCAAAAATTGATAAAAACAGAACTTCATCTTAATTGACTCATTTTAAGATACATTACTTTACATTTTGTTTCATTTAGTAAGAATACAGAAAATATAGAAAAGTTGCTCATTTTAAATTAAACTATTCAATTATTTTTTTGTGATTCTTTTAATACTTTCAGTAAATTATTATTAGGTAATACAAAAATAAATATCTTAAACTAAAGACAGCAAGTATTTTAAGCTTGCATATAAATACAATGTATTATAAGCTTGGATACGGATCACAGGAAATTAAATTATATAATCAAATGATGTGGGGAAAATATAAAAATCCAACAGTAAAACAATTTAGAATATAAATATTACGTAACGTTTTGCAGATCAAGAAAGATTATTGCAAAATTTATTTCTGTTGATGTCAAATAAAATAAAAATTGTGCAGAGCAACACATCTGATTTACACATAAATTTGAAACTGATAAAAATTTTACAAGTGACATCAGAAATTTTTGTAAAAATAAGTTTTATCTAAACAACAAATAAGCGATTTAACTAAAAACAAAAGTGAACTGAAATTTAAGTTAGACGTTACAAGCATTACTTTTACTGAAAGTTTAAAAATAATCATTAAAACATCTCAAAAATAAAATTAATGTTTCTTAACTCATTTGCCATTTAAATCATAAGATTGCTGTTTTATAAATACCATTCTTAAATTTAGCAAACAATCTCTCAAGAAGTAAATAAACAGAGAAAATCAATAATAAATTGATAAAAACTTTACGTTGTTTAAGAGGCCTAAATTATTTATAGGCTCATAATTAAATGTCAAACTAATAATTTGGGCAAAATACACATGAAAGCATGTAAACACATACTTTTGATTAAAAACAAAAACTACATTATATTATTTTATGTGTCATTTTCTTCGTAACCTTCTATTAATATTGTCAGTGACTTATTATGAATGCAAAATTAAAGCACTAAATTAAATGAAGAAAATTTTCAAAACATTGCTATCAAATATAGTGTACTACAAACTAAAATAAAGATCGCCAAAAATTCAATAAAGATAATCAAATGACATGCACAAAAAAAATCCAAATTAAATAATGTAAATTTTCATAACATGCCTATCAAATACAGTGCACTACAATCTAAAATAAAGAAAAGTTCAATAAAGATAATCGAATGACATGCAAAAAATTAATATCATAAATGAACATAATATTTAACAAAAATAAACTTGAAAGGCAAATTTAGAATAAGTATGTAGAAAATTAATTATTTTACTTTGACGCATAAAAATGCCAATCCTGACAATTAATAAAATAAAATTAATATTGATAATAACTTTACAAGGAATGACATCTTTCATAAAAACAAATTTTATTTAATTAACAAGTTATTTAGCTGAACACCGAAACTAAACTGAATCTCAAACTTTGACGTTTGAGCAATTTTTTTACTGATGGTTGGGTAAAAACAAGAGCAAATCAATAAAAACTGAAAATTATTTTATAATCCTAAAAATTTCATAGGCTTATCAACATAATAGTTTTACACATGACAGCAAAAATTTTAAGCAATGATATCCTTTTTACTAAAAAAAAGAATTCTATTTGACTACTTTTATCTATCAAATACCATTTGATTATTTTCTTTGTGATATTATTCTCTTAAAATTTGCAATGACTTAGTATGAATATAAAAGTAAATATCAATATATAAGACAAATGCTTCAAACATGCCCAACAAATACAATGTATTGCAATCAAAGATAAAGATCACAGGAAGTTCAATAGAGATAATCAAGTAACATACAAGAAACTAAAAGCATGCAAGAAGGAAATGCTAAAAAATCAACTTCAAAACATACACGAGCAAAATTAAAGTAGGCATATATAACTAGTATTTTTACAGAACAAGGAAAAATTTTAACAATATTACAAGATTAATTACTTTACTTCTTTTAATAGGGGAAAAAGATGCCGATCATGACATATGTGAAAAATTCATTTCATAATGACAAAGATTTCACAGGAAGTAATACTAGAAAACTTCGGCAAAAACAAGTTTTATCAAAATATAGTTACAATATTGCAGGATAAATGAAAACAAAAAAAAATTTAATAAAAGAAACTTAAGTTAATACTTTTTTAAATTGTGATTAATAATATCATATCAAAGATTTTATGAAAACTTAAAATTTCTGAAGATCGAGGACAGTTCTGGAATGGGAACACCGGTTAGAAACTGTTTTTATTTATGTTTACCATATTTTGAAAAAGTTTCGTATTTATTAACTTGAAGGAAAAAAATATATAAATAAGACTCACCTGTAGCATTCCTTCGAACTTTCTCTCTCTGTAGAATTATAGTAATAACTGTTACTGTTATCAATAAAAGAATCCGCACTCAAATTATTGGTTAGATACTCCCAATACAATTCACTTGTTACGGCAAAGAGAGGAATGATGTCGTAAGGAGGGCCCATTAATCTCGCAGCCAGTTTGTTTTGAGAAAGTTGCTCCAATCCAAATCAGCTGATGAAGAAAGTTTGAGAATGTAAACAAAAGGATCATAAGAATTTATCAAAGTTCGTAACGTGCTTAAATTCACCATAGAAACATTTTTGGTCCTGACAAATTCAACTGAAAAAGCACTGTTTCACAAACTAATTTTCTTCCTGAACTAACAGAAAGCTGGAAATGATTTTATTTCACTTGGAGTATTCAAAATAAGAATAAAATGAGTTTGCGACGATTTCGGAAGTGAGCTAAACTTTTAAGAGCCAGAAAACCGCGAATTTTGTGGCATATTTTCAGTTTCTGTCTTATAACAGCTATAGTGGGCATCATACATAAAATTTCATTCAAAACAAATTTAAAAAGGATTAAATTCCGCATCGAATGAAATCTTTATGCATTAAATTTGGTTCCATTCTTCTTGTTTGATCAGAATTACTAGTAAAAAATGAACCAAGTTTTTAGCTTCGGTAGATAGAAAAGGTTTACACGTTCTTTCAAACGTCTGTGACCCAAAAATGAGTCTCCGAATAATATAAATTTTCAAAAGTATTAAGCTTCTAAATCCCCTTTCAGGGAGCACCTTATTTCAAAATCAGCATAGATAACACAAAAAGAAAGAAAGAAAAAAAGACGGAGAGCATATTTACCTGGGTGAATCCTTCATTCTATAAATAAAATTCCTAACCCTTCTTATAGACCCCTCTCATACACTCTGTCTTTTTACTTCGAGGTATAGTTTGTCTAAAGTAAGAACTCCTCTAGCCATTCGTCTGAACCCATGGTGGTCACTATGGTAACGAGGTATAACTATTTCGAGTAGGGGTGTGAGCCATTGTTTAGGACAAGTTTTGGCTCGAATTGGCGAGAGAAAGGGAATCTCTTTCTTCGGTCTACTGTGTTAGCCCTAGAGTGAAGAGAAGCAACCCTCCTTGAAATGCGCTATTGTTGTTTCCATTGTAGCCAATGGCCTAAGACTTGGGGGCGGGAGGAGCTCTTACCGTAGACAAACTATAGATGCTTTTTTTATATATATATATATAGTCTCCCCACTTTTACTTACCAACAAACTTACGCTCGAGTCCTTTCATGCGAGTTTCAAGTATTGCTAGTAACGATGAAGACGGAGCCGAAGCCGAAGTGCATTGTGATCTTTTTTCGTGCTATTCACCAATTGGTGCCCATTCTACCCATTACGATGATGAAATCGAGGCTATTTATGTCGCTTTAAAGCAGCTGGCAATCAGCTGTTCATCATTCTGTAGAGCGGCTATTTTGTCAGACTCTACGTCTGCGCTTCAATCTCTCTCAAATGGACAGTATACAGATAATACCTGTATTCTGGAGTGCAAAGAGCTGGTAATGTCGATCTCTGTTTCCTTCCAGTGGATCCCAGCCCAGTGTGGGATTTCTGGAAACGAGGCTGTCGACTTTTTAGCCCAAAAGTGGGCAGGGGTCCTCCAGAGAACTTTGAAAACCCTCTCTTTTCATTCAGCCAAACTCCTGATAAAAGGAAGATATAACACCAGGATAAAGCAGAAAGCATTATGTGACTCTATCGGTAAGTCATGGGCCCCACTGCTTGAGGATAAACGGTTGATTCCATATTTTCCTAGAAGAGCAGCTGTGGCACTTTTCCGCCTTACTACAGGCCATCATGACTGTTTGCCAACGTATTTGTATCGATTTGGACTTTGTGATTCTCCTTTTTGTCCTTTGTGTGGACAACATCAAATTTTTGATGCTACTCATCTTGACTCGTGTTCTGCACTTGCGTTTTTAAATTGTAGAGTACAGAGATATTGGAAGGCCAGAGAACTAATTTCGTCATAGCCAATCTTCTGGGCATTTGCAAGTAATAAATAAATAAATATTTCTATAAGCCGGTTGTTTAGGGTGACGTTTAGGACCAGTCGCGAATAATACGAAGTTTCCAGCTCCCTTTGAACTAGAATCTGCACTCTTTTCTACAGAGGTTAGAGCTTAGTGAATACGAATCCAAAAGTTTCAAATTCTATCCCAGACTGATATACCTCAATTACCCTGTTCAATAAAGAGGGAATGTGTAGATTATGCCTTATGAAATTACTCATAGTCTGTATATGGAAAGAACACGCCTCGCCATTCACCTGAAGCAATTGCGGTGACTATGGTTACAACAAATTATGGCCAATTTTTAAGACAAATTATGGCCTTGTCGGCGAGAGAAAGAGAATCAAGAGAGAAAGAAGCTCCCCTCTTTGAAATGCGCTTTTTCTTGGTTCCAGGGCAGTGGGGGATGCGAGGAGTGTTCTTTCTATAGACAAACTATTGCTAGTTTAAATTGGATGTATACTTTAGCCGTGATGATTAAGTCATTGTATTTATCTAATCAAGTAATTAATATGAAGTTCATCTTTCGTCACTGTCTCTACACATACCATATTTTTTCTCAAAAGTCAAGAAAATATTGTATTGATAGGATAGAATTTATTCGGAGAGTTATCTTGTCAGTCGATCAGAATCAAAACTAACAGACGTTCTGGTTGATAATAGCTAAAGTGAGATGGTTTAGTGCACCGACTTACATTTGAGATGGTCATGTCAGGAGCTGGGTTAAGAAATGTGCAAGTATAACACTCATGCACATGATAGGATACACATTAAATTGCTCGCGAAATGCATGTAAATATTTCCCGATTTTCATGCTATTTGTTTTTCTAAGTAGGCACTAACTATGAACATTTGCCACAGTGTTGTCCCGTATAACTTTTTTAATATTTTTTATTTTGAAAATCCTTGTCAAAAGTCATCTCAAAATGCCTACACAATAGGTGTTACGAATAAATTTTTTAACAAGGCGAAAATTAATTCACCATCGAAATCGAACGAATCCCAACTGAGAAGATTAAAAAAAGCCGGATATTTAAAATTTGATTTCTCAGGAACTATTCGACCGATTTCGTTCATATTTTATATTTTGCCATGCAAAATTATGTTCTTCAAAATGATGCAAAATAGTGTGTACCTTACAATTCAAAATTTTTTCAATCATTATTTTAAAAAAAAATGTATATTTACTAAAAGTTATTTTTTGCATGGTATTATCTTTGGATAAACGAATTTCATAATTGTGTGCAAATTTTTTTTAAAATTCGCATAGGAAGTTCTCAAGATATAGAGAAACACGCAAAAAGTAAAATTAACATTACGGGATCAAAACTTTGGATCTCTCTCCTGTCCATACTATTGAGACCATATTTCCCGGATTGCAGCTAACCCATATATTTTTGGGGTTCGAAATCCAAATCTGTCGAAAAAAGAGCCATGTTTATTCAGAGAAAGTACGTTTTTGCGTCGATTTCGTAACTTAAAATATCGTCTACACTTATGAATTAGCATATTTGAAGTTATTCCCTCGAGCCATTAAAATTGAGTCCTAGAACGTGTAGATCAGATCATTAGATCAAAAGTTATTCAGGGTGGTCTGTTTTTTACTTTGCGCACTGTACATTCGTATGTGAAAGTGTGACGAAAATGACTAATTATTTAGTTTCGTAATAACTAATTTAAATATTAGTTTTATATGATTCTAAATACGTAACTCCTGCTAACGCTTAGCTACAGGCACAGGGTCATCCCTTGACTGACCCACGAAGATTTGTACCCATCAAATTCGAAAAATTAAGTCGTGTTTCTTTATTAAAACGTTCAAAGTAGTTGGTAGGAATAGCTACAAACTACTGTTTTTTATATCGCACCACTCACTGCATTACTTTTTTAAAAAAGTAGCACACTTATACCACGAACTACGAAAAAGGGTAGCGACTACAGTAGTCTCACTACTTGTAGTGAACTACCTCCGACTACTTTAGAGATAAATGGCTCATCTAAGACATTTTTGCCACCAAAAAAATGTTAAAAATAAAATAATTCGGTTATCAGTTTTTTTCTTTTTAAGAAAATGAGATAATGAGATTTTTCTCTCTGAGAAAATGATATTACGTTTCTAAAGTGTCACCGGCTAGGTTAAGTAAGTTTTAAAGCTACAGCTGCCGAATGATTGGATTGCTGATTATTAAAAATGTTTTTAGAGTTTTTGTACAGTTAGAGTTATTAAAATATTAATAATTAAAATGTTAAGAAATAATTCAGCAATGAATTAATAAATGTTTCATTAAAAAAAATTTCAGTTGCTTAAAGATCTTCTTCAAAAGCTTTATTTGAAATAATAATAATATGCTTTTTTATTAATACTATATATATTATGTTTTTCTTTAAAAAATAATAATATGCTTTTTTTACCATCGTTGTAAATTCACATCAGTTTTTCTATGACTGTTAGATTAACTCTTTGGCTCAGATGGTCTCTATTTTGGTGTCTCTATATTTGTCTATATTTTGGTATTTCGAGTTGTATAAAACCGTCTAATAAATACTAAAAAAATCTGTTCGGAATTATATTTGCACCAAAATATAAAATCCGAAAAAGTAGCTTGAAATTTTTTTTCATTCATATTCAAAAATTTATCAATAATTGATTTTGCAAATTAAAGAAATTTCAATGATGAATCTAGTAACTACAAATAAGTGCAAATTTGAAAATTTGTTTTAAAGTGGGCCATGTTTGGAAAATTTTAACCTTTAACGTAGAAAAAAAACACCGGTGTTTCATGCTGTATTTCATAACCATAAATAATTAAAATAATAAATATAATATTTTTCACTTATTTTGACCTGAATTAATGCATAATAAGGAAAAAAAATATGAAAAATATGCTTAATAAACATTCTGCGTCAAATTGTTAAGTTTTGCACATTCCTAGCCAACGCCTTTTATGCTACATATGAATGTGCCAATGCGAAGAAAGGCTGTTTTATTGCTAATGGAAAGCTTTTGTGATTTAATTTCTTCCAATATTTGAAAAATTTCTTCAACACTGGATTCACATGTTACTGGATCACATTTGGACTCTTAAATATATGCAAAAAACTAAAAATTATTCATTGATTTCAATGATTTTTTNTTTTTTTTTTTTTTTTTTTTGCCAAGTGGAAAATCTCATAAAATTATCGACTTTTTAAAAAATCGAAGATGAGGTATTTATAGTATCTTTTAAGTAGCAAAGACCACATAGGTATTGTATTTATTTACGGAGATCCAAATAACAAAAATTTTAAGAATTGAAGAAATTCTTTGCAAAAAAAGATTTATGTATGTGATTCCATGAGGTACTTTTGTATTTTTAACAACTAAAAATCCCAGTTAAGTTATATAGTTTAGTTAAAACTTAAAATTCGCCGGTTTCATTTTTGAAAAATCTTGTTTAATATTACAAAATAAAATTTGTGAAAAATCTAATCACCTAGAAAAATGTTAAATTTTCAGCATATTCAAAACAGGCAAAATTAATAATAAATAAATAAATTATTAGTTACTAAATACAATTTACTGTAAAATTATGAAAATGTTTTTTTTTCTTCTTCTTTTTTTAATTTTTAATGCGCATGTGCGGTAAAAAAAGAGCTGCTTTAAATGCTCATAGCTTTCGCAATTTTTTAGCGAATTTCTTTTTCGAATTTTAAAATGATAATTTTGTTGTAAATTAAAATTTTTTTCAAAAAGTTAGTTTAATCTTGTTAAATGATTTTAAAGTTATAGCAAAAACAAAAATAAAATAAATAAATAAAAATATTAATATTTCCATAAATTTTCAAGTTAAATTTATTAAATGTCATGCAATCATTGCAAGCAATAATCAAACTAATCTATACAATTACAAACTTATTGCTATATTTTATGGCACAGGGCGTTGAAAAATACTTGTTTTCGTTCGTAATTTATAACCAGTCCCTTAAAGTTTTAAAATTGATTGATAAGTATGAAAATTGCATGATCTTAACACCTCTAAAGTTATAAAAAAATCCCCTAAGTATTTCTTGAGGAATTTAAGAAAATGTCAAAAACCGAAAGTGTCTCTCCCATTATTGCAGGGTAGTGTATATACATATATGGAACAAGGCAGAACAAGAAATATTCTCCGTTTTTTGGAGATAAATTCATTTAATAATCAAATAATTAAACCAAAATAAAGAACGAAAGCTACAAGTCAGATTAGAGTAATTCAAAACTTTGGATCTCTCTCCTGTCCATACTATTGAGACCATATTTCCCGGATCGCAGCTAACCCATATATTTTTGGGGTTCAAAATCCAAATCTGATGTCGTAAGGAGGGCCCATTAATCTNAATCTCGTGATGAAAAAAATGAAAATTGCTATAATATGTATTTATATATAAAGAATACTAAATATTCTGCGTTTTTTGGAGATACATTCAGGTAATTATAAAGGGTTTAAACAAAAAACTACAAATCGCAATTAAGTTAGACAAATTTTTTTTGAAAACTTAGTGGCAAACTTCTTTAGTGGCAAATTTTTTTCATTTTCACTATCTATTATATTTCGACTCTCATGATTAGAATTAGAATGAAAAAAAACGCGTATTGTGAAAACAATTCCTACAAGGTTCAAATAAGGCAGTACAGAAAAATATTCTATGTTATTTTACTATGCTCATACAGTAATAAAGTGTTTAAACAAAAGCGAAAAATGGGGGGGGAAAATCTTTAATCTTTTTATTTCAAACTTCATGATTAGAATATTGCATAAAAAATAAAAATAAAATATTTCTTATAAGATTTAAATTAGGAAATGTACTAAATTATTTTGTGTTACTTGGAGACATTCATATAATAATAAAAAATTATAAACTGCAAATCACTGTTAAATAATATTATTTTTTTCTTAAGTTTTAAGATATTTAAGTTCGTTTTCTTAATCTGTTACACTTTA